GATCATTTTTCTACCACACAAGAGTGTTCGGAAGCTAAAATAATAATAGTAAATGCTTGGGGAGCCTTAAATGAAAAAGGTGCATTAACACGGGATTGGTGGGTTCATCAAATGTGAATGCTTGTGGTTTGGAAAACCTTCTGATTTAGTTGTATTACCATTTCATCTAAGAGCCTTAGTCATGGACCATGAGGCCAGTGCACTAAGTGCTGTAGAAACACAGAACAAAATCAATTTTCCATGCCCCAAAGAGCTTACATGCCATGTACAGGACGCTCTCTAGTCCCTAACCGGTGCCAAACCAGAGAATTTTTCTGATGAAACTTGAGGAACGTCCACACTGCAATTGCATTATTCCACAAGAAAATTGGAAGAACAGAGGGGTTTTTCCGGCACTGGTAATCCTCATTCTACGAGGAAGAAGCCTTTTTCCGAAAGAGCTCTTCTGCAAAAAGGCGTGTGTGGATGGGGAAGAGGGAGTTCTTTCGGAAGAAGAGGAAAGAGGAAAAAGCACAGGTGCCCTGGTGGCCATTCTGTCCATAGCAATCACTGCTTACATGCGAGAGAGCATCCATTCAGAGGAGACGCTCTCTTTTGAAAAAGCAGATCACTTTTTCGATGCACTTTTGCAGGGTGGATGCTCTCTTTTGGAAGAAGTTTTTTCGGAAGATCTTTTCCAAAAAAAAGCTTCTTCTGAAAAAAGCCTATAGTCTAGACGTAGCCTGAGAGCATGGCCTGATGGCTGTAAAGAAACTTTATGGAACTTTAATGAATGTGGGAAACTTTAATGGATGTGGGAAACTTGGCCACATCCATTAAAGTGGACATCTGGCTAACTAAAATTATGCTGGACCATGGATGTTGCTGGCCCAAAGAGTTCAGACAATACAAGTCAGTAGGATAGGCATGGATATTAGCACACCAGAAGCCTGGCCGTTGTCACAGAAGCCAGTTATGCAGTGTTATGGCCCTGGCAGAATGTGCTGTGAGCCACGTTGGACAAATTAAATTAATTTCTCAAATGACAGTGGGGAGGGGGCGTTATTTTACCTTTAAGCCGTCTGAGCTCTCGGTTGCTTTGTTGCTTTCATGCAGCACGTGAACTGCTCTTTCAATTTGCCACGCTAACCGCTAACCCGGTGTAAAATGCAGATCAGAGCAGAAGTGAGAAGGGAGAGGAAAAGCCTCTTAAGATGCCCTGGGGATTGCTGCCTATGTTGTCACCTCAAGGAAATACTTGGTTGCAGTAGGGCCCGTTGTTTAGCAGCCTCTGCGTTGAGTGGCTTGCGTGCAGGATCTGTCGGGTGTGCGCACCATTTACCTTCATATTTATTGAACCTCCAGAGCCTCTGTTTGGTACTGACCTCCCCTCGCAATGTCTGGTTTGAATGCATGGCATGTAGCATTCAGCCAGGAAGAAAGGTATCCTGCTGACCAGTGAAGTCCCCGGTACCTTTTGCAGTTGGCTTTCTGAGTGTTGTTGCTTTAACACCCAGCTACATAGGGTCACACGAGGGAAGCAAGTTAGCAGAAATGAATCAGAGGGGAAGTACCGTGTGGGGAGGGAGAAACTCCAGGACACAAGATGAACTTTAAAATAGCAGTCGCCCCGTCATTCTTGCCCGTGCCTCGGACAGCATCCATGGCTTTGACACCCGGCAGGCCCAGCTACACAGGCTGCCTGTAGTTTGGGGAGGCAACTAAATACATAGTATAACCAGTGCTCCTGGGATGCTGCTGCAGACCCCACACCTGCCTCCCACTCCTACCCCTATGCCGGGCTTGTGCTAGAGGCGTTCCCACGAGCCCCTGGCAGGTTTTTGCTAAGTGCTATACGGAGCAGGGGGGCAGAATTGGCCTCTTAAACCCACATGGCCTCAGTGACTATCCATGGCCACCATGTCTTTGGAACCTGAAGGGGGGTTCCAGATAGGGATGGTAAATTGAATAGTCGTGTAACCTCATGAATTCTTATTGGTTAATTGACTATTCTGTAGTCAGTGCACTCCAGCCTCACTCCTGGGGAGCCCCCTGTCACTCCATGCTGCTGTATCAGAGGCAGCAGCATGGGGTGCCAGACAGGAGCTGGTCCATGAGGGGATACAGTTTAAAAACCAGCTCCCCTCACGGACTGGCTGCCTGTCACCCTGTGCTGCTGCCTCTGGTAAAGAGGCAGCAGCACAGGGTGGCAGCAGCCCCTGTCTGGTGAGGTTCTGAGCTCCCGGATCCAGTGCAAGCCAGAACTGAGCTGGGCTGCCTGTCCACCCAGCTCCGAATACACTTTAAATGCAGAGCCACAGTGGGGGTAGGTCCCAGACCTGGCGTGAGCCAGGACTGAGTTGGGCTGCCTGCCCACCCAGCTCCTAATATACTTTAAGGGCAGAGCTGCAGCAAGGGTGGGTCCCAAACCCATCTCAAGCCAGGACTGAGGTGGGCTGCAGGCCATCCTGCTAAAGAATTTATGAGGGGAGGGGCAGAGAAATGAGTGTCGGCAGAGAAATGAGTGTAGCTTAACCTATAAGCTTTTGTTTATTGGTTAATCAGCTTATCGACTACGCTATTACACCCCTAGTTCCAGAGAGGATGGCGAGAGGCTGTTCTCAGTGGTGACAGATGGCAGAACAAGGAGCAATGGTCTCAAGTTGCAGGGTGGGATGTCTAGGTTGTAGGAGAGTGGGGAAGCACTGGGATGGGTTCCCGAGGGAGGGGGTGGAATCTCCATCCCTAGAAGTTTTTAAGTCCTGGCTTGACAAAGCCCTGGCTGGGATGGTTTAGTTGGGTTGGTCCTGCCTTGGGCAGAAGGCTGGACTCGACCTTCTGAGGTCTCTTCCAACTCTAGGGGTATGTTTACACTACCACCCTAGTTCGAGCTAGGGTGGTAGTGTAGACATACCCTAGGATTCTATGATTCTATGTTTAGACTGTTTTAATTAATTACTTAATTGTTCATATAGCCCTTGTGCATCCATTTAGCATGCAAGCAATGTGACTTGCGTTGCCATCATTGGGTAAGAGATACGGTGCATGAGGCGGTATATTTGCTTATGACCACTGACGGGGGCATTTCATAACCTGCTATGAAGGAGGGTCTTCCTGGGGACCAGGGGTGGCCTGGGAGCCTGGGCAGACTAGGCAGTCCGATAGGGCACCCGATGATGATGTCATGGCCATTGACGGCCATGCAGGCGGGGGCGCTAATCGCGCCTTCTGCCTGGGGCGCCAGCTGTCGCAGCCGGCCTCAGCCCGCTCCTGCTGGGGACAGTTTTATTAATTGATTTAAATGCTCCTACCTGAAACCTGTTCCTTTTAAATATATCTGACCTGCTGATAGCTGTGAGCTACAAGATTGTGATAGTATATTCTGCCTGGGGCGCCAGCTGTCGCAGCCAGCCTCAGCCCGCTCCTGCTGGGGACAGTTTTATTAATTGATTTAAATGCTCCTACCTGAAACCTGTTCCTTTTAAATATATCTGACCTGCTGATAGCTGTGAGCCACAAGATTATGATAGTATAAGATGTTAGGAATCATTCAAAAAAGGGATCGAGAATCCATGTTACTCACATCTTGAATACTGTGTATCGATGTGGTCACCTCATCTCAAAAAAGATGTCTTGGCCTTGGAAAAGGTTCAGAGAAGGGCAACTAAAATGATAAGGGATTTGGAACAGTTCCTATATGAAGACAAATGAAAGAGACTAGGACTTTTTATCTTAGAAAAGAGGAGACGAAGGGGGGATATGATAGAGGTCTATAAATCATGACTGGTGTGGAGAAAGTGAATAAGGAAAAGTTATGTACTTGTTCCCATAATGTAAGAACTAGGGTCACCATGTAAAATTAACAGGTAGCAGGTTTAAAACAAACAAAAGGAAGTTTTTCTTTATGCAGCATATGGTCAACCTGTGGAACTCCCTGCCAGAGGATGTTTAACAGGACTTTAACAGGGTTCAAAAAAGAACTAGATAAATTCGTGGAGGACAGGTCCATCAGTATTTATTAGCCAGGGTGTATAGGAATGGTGTCCCTAGCCTCTGTTTGTTAGATGCTGGGAATGGGTGACTGAGGAGGGATCCCTTGATGATTCCCTGCTCTTTTCATTCCCTCTGGGGCACTTGGGCATTGGCCACTGTTGGATGACAGGATACTGGGCTGGATGGACCTTTGTTCTGACCCCGTATGGCCGTTCTTGTATATCCACATTGCAAGCTGTTAGAGGTAGGGGCTAGCTTTTTGTTCTATGTTTTATACAGCGTCTAGCACAGTGGGCTCCTGGCCCATAATAAGGACAGCTATGTGCTTCTGCAGCACAGATGACAATTTAACAATAGCCAGGGCATTGAGCTCTGGGACTCGAGTACACGCCCCATAGAGACAAGAACTTGGCAGGAAGTTAGGAGCTGGAGTCAGATCCAGACTGTTCCAAAGTCCTGATGTGTTTTGAGCCAGACCTATCTCTGTGCATGCACTGAGAAATAACTGCACAGTGGATAAGCGGATGCCCTCTACTGGGCTGGATTGGAGCATCTCAGTCAGTGTAAAGAAGAAAAATGAAGGGGTGTCCAGATGAAAAATCATCCTAGGTCTTTTTCTCCTGCATGAACAGGGACTTCAGAGCAATTCAGAGCCGGGGAGTGGTAGCCGTGCACCATAGCTTAACAGCTGGCCTCAGCCCCGCAAACGTGGATGCAGGGATGTCAACAGGCCTGTGTTGGAATTATGCCAGGGCTCAGCAGCGGAGGGAGCAGCCCCGGTACTTTGCGTCATGGGAGGGCAGATGAATTGAAAATTCCCTTCCGTTCCCCACCAGCCTTGCCGAATTTCTCACACGGGCGCGAACACGCTGCTGTGAATACGTCAGCGCTGTAAAGAAGTGCGAATCCTCCGCGGGGCGGTTCGAGGGGGGAGGGGAGAGCTAGCTGTTTGCTTTGCGCATTCCCATGGTTTTTTTTATAATGAGTAATAACGACTGGCAAACGTTTGGCCCTTCAATCCTCTCCAGGCTGCTGATTTATGGCGAGTACTGCAGCCACATGGAATGCGCCCAAAATACCCTGAACAGCCTCCTAGTGAACAAAGAGGACTTTCGACAAAAAGTGGAGGTAAGCGGGGGTGAGGGAGACTGGGGAGGTGGATGCACGGGGAGGTGGGTGTCCGGCAGCGCTTTTGTCTTCTGCCTCCTTGCTTGGAGAGACTTCCTTGTGCGGTTCGGAAACTGCTCCTGGGTGTGAATGATTACGGAAAATCCCCAAAGAGCTTGGATTTGAAAGAGGAAAGAAATGGGGGCTGATTCTGGGGCAGCACGAGGGCATTGGCGGGCAAAGGTAGTTCCACGCTGGCTTTCAGTACTTAAGATAAGGAGTCTGCCAGTGTGCCCCCTGGCATAAATTACAGCAGCAGAGGCACGCTTAACTTGGGCTGCTAAGCAGCCCAGAATATCCATAGCACATCACCCCCACGCCCCTCATCTACCTCCCACTCCCACCCCTATGCAGGCCCTGTGCTAGAGGGGTTCCCATTAGCCCCCTTGTAGCTTTTTAATAGCCACCGTATGGAGCAGAGGACAGAATCGGCCTCTTACACTTGTATGGCCTCCATGGTGCAAGGCTTAAACCCACCATATTTGGACTGTTTTAATGATTGTGTTTCAAACCTCCCTTTCCCCCGCTTTTTAATACTCTGGCTTTATAGCAGGAAGGCCCCAAAGTCTTCCCCCAGCCAGCTGGCTGTGTCCCAGTAAATGACAGCCAGGGATGATGGAAAAGATTTCGTAGGAAAAGATCCGATTCACTGTCCCCTTTGAGCATCCTCAACGCCCATTTGGAGATTGGTGGATTTTCAGACCAGAAGAATTGTCTTCTCTGACCTCCTACCTAACACAAGCCAGAGGATTTCACCCCTCCATGCCTGTAGGGAGCTCCACTGGAGATCTGCGATTGGCCCCTGGTTCATTCCGCCCGTCTCCCCAGTAAAAAGGGTGCAATAGTGGATCGGCCTCGCTTGGGAGAGCAGGTTTCCCACACATCTTCTCTTTCCCACCCGCCATCTTTCCCTCCATGAAGCCCACTTCTTCACACTTCATTGCTCAAATGCGTGCTCGGGCTGCCTATGCCAACAACCTTCGGCCCAGGTGCCACTCCCTGAACCTGAGAGAGTCGCCTCCCGACCTCCGTGACGGCGCCACCCCCGTAAGATGAAATCGCTCCTTGCCTCCAGCATCGGGACGTTCTGGGCGCACTCCAAAAGCAGTGGGCATCTGCCCATCAAGTCCAGTGGTATTCGGATCCATTAAAACCAGCCCGTGCGGCCGGTGCTGAATTTCTGGAAGAGGCGGGCATGGTGCTGGAGCCAGGTGCATTGCAGGCCGGCTCTGCCCAGACTTGGCGCTAGCCCCGCCCTTCCTCCCTTGGATGCTCCAGTTTTGTGCCTCTCTGGAGCAGAGGGTTTGGACCACACTCAGTCCTGGCATAAGCTGTTACAACCTAATGAAGCCAGTGGAGACTGGACCTACTGACCCTGAATTGTCCTCTGACCTGTGTTGTGTGCCCAAATGGCTCCTTGGGGCTAAGACATTGAGACTAGCCAACCCATTTCCTCTTTACAGCCATAGGAATCTCTGTTGATTGGGCTAATCAGCTAGGGGTGAGCGTTGTATTAGTCGAGGCTCTTCTCTGGCCCCCCTCATGGCCGTACCTAAGCACCTCGCAGTCTTTCCTGTCTTTGTCCTCACAGTGCCTCCGTGAGGGAGAGGGGCCAGAAAGGACAGGCCATTTGAGCTGCTAGTTGCTTCCAACTGAAATTCCTGCTTGGTGTGTGATGTTAATCTCAAGTTGCAGGGCTGCCTGTGCATGTTACTTTATTGTCCACAAATGGCTTCTGATTCGCAGGGCAAATGCAGCAATGCGATTATGAACTGAACTGTTTTATATAACCCCCGCCTCCTGGCTCTCACATCAAAATATTACCATCCCGAACGTGCCCCGTATCCACAGCACTGCTGCTGTGACCTCAAGCTGTTCATCCATTTCTCCTTATTTAATTACATTTCTGCTTGTTAGCAGAGCCTTTCTCTCTGCCTAGTCTAATAAACACATCAGGCAAATCACAACGCACTCTAGTCTTACTGTGTAATGGGGTCTGGGATAAGGGAGTTTCTTTCTTTCTTTCTTTGGGTGTGTCTAGACTACAGAGTTTTTTCGAAAAAGTGGCCTTTTTTCGAAAAAACTTCCCCTGCATCTAGACTGCTGCTGTGTTCTTTCAAAAGTAAATCGAAAGAACGCGGCAGTTTTTTCGACCGTGGAAAACCTCGTTTTACGATGAAGAAAATCTTTTTTTGAAAGTGCTTTCGAAAAAAGGCACTATGTAATGCAAACTACTTTTTCAAAAACTACTGGTTGTAGTCTAGACACTCTTTTTCGAAAGAGGCTTTCAGTCTAGACGTTTTCTTTCTTTCTTTCTTTCTTTCTTTCTTTCTTTCTTTCTTTCTTTCTTTCTTTCTCCCCCCCCGCTTCCCCCCAACGTAGATTTGAGGCAGTCCCTCCCTATGGCCTCGTCACTACTCTGTGGCTAGGATTTCCATCAGAACTGATCCAGGTTGCCCCTGAATCACCTGGCGTAGTCACTACTTCTGAAACCCAGAGAAGTAGTACTGACTTCTGGAGAGAGGAAATAAGAGTATATAAGAACATAAGAATGACCATACTGGGTAAGACCAAGATCCATCTTGGCCAGTATCCTGTCTTCCAACAGTGGCCAATGCCAGGTGCCCTAGAGGGAATGAACAGAACAGGCAATCATCGAGTGATCCATCCTCTGTTGCCCATTCTCAGCTTCCGACAAAGGCTAGGGACACCATTCCTACGCATCTTGGTTAATAGCCATTGATGGACCTGTCCTCCATTAATTTATCTGGCTCTTTTTTGAGCCCTGTTAAAGTCCTGGCCTTCACAATATTCTCTGGCAAGGAGTTCCACAGATTGAGTGTGCATTGTATGAAGGGACTCAACCCTAGGTCTCCCACCTGCACAGTAGCACAAATAGCGCTGCACGAGTGGAAGTGATAGGAGGTAGTGTACATATGATGAAACTGGGACATTTACCCCAGCCTCAGTGCCCCTATTGGAAAAATGAGGCACTAACAACGCATTGTGCTTTGAGAGTTTACAGAAGCAAACCAAAGCAGCTTTAGAAGAATGTTTTCCCACCTCTTGATTTATTTTGTTTTGGTTTTAGGAATGCACATTAAAGGTTCAGGATGGGAAGTTTAAATTGCAAGATCTGTTGGTGGTTCCAATGCAAAGGGTCTTGAAGTATCATCTCTTGTTAAAAGTAAGTGTTTCAGTCTCAAGAATTTTCTTGCGATGGCCACTTTTGCTGTAGCATCTGTGATCTTTTCCCGTAGCAAATGGAATCAGTATTGGATAGCACAGAACATTTTTTCTTTAAACAAAACAATGACTATTTAGCACAATGTAATATTTGTGCCCTCTTTTAAAGTACCAGAGTAATTCTATAATAGTTAGCCACAAGAGGCAGTTAATGAACATAAAATAAGCTTTCATATAATCTGATTATGTGTGAAATTCCTCCCGCAAGCTCTGTGTAACAAATCCACTAAGCACCAACAGCTTTGCTGGTTCCTTTCCTTAAAGCTGCCGACTGCTTGTAGCTGTGTGTTCACAGTGGCAGGCAATAATTGCTTTATGTCTTGTCGTGTGTGCCGTTACACGAGTTGGCTAGAGGTGTGTGAAACTTTGCTAACGCATTTGGAATATTTCTTGCAGGAGCTTCTCAGCCATTCATCTGATCGGCCAGAAAAGCAGCAACTCAAAGAAGCTTTGGAAGCCATGCAGGTATGAGTGCTGCCGTCCACCTGCAGGGAATGGATAGAAGTTGTGTACCCTTCAACTTTCGGTTGCAATGGTGGAGATAAATCAGTGTCTAAGCTATTATTGTTTATCTGTGTTTCAGTAGCACCAAGAGGTCGGTGCCCCGTTGCATTAGGCATGGTACAAACACGTAACAGGAACCATTCCTGCCCCAAAGAGCTGAAAGTCTAATGACGTATTTCTGCAAAGATAGTGACACTTGCAAAGAGTTCAGACAAAGCCATTTCCAATAGCTCGGCTTAGGGGTGTTAAGATTCCGTAAGCATGCTTCTTATTTGCTTTGCAAAAGCTGCAGGTGAGAGATGGGTATCACTAATCAGATGCAGTATTTCTACCTGCAGGGGAGGGGCAGGAAGGTCAATTATTCATAGAAAAAACTTGAGAGGGAAACATGTAGCACATCAGGGCAAAGGAAAGAGATGTCTTTTCCTTTAGAATATGTATATGTACTCTAGTTGCTATTAAAGGTTGAACCTCTCTAGCCCGGCACCCTCAGGACCTGACTGGTGCCAAACCAGAGAATTTACCAAACCATGGGAGGTTAATATTATCTAGCCACATCTCCAACACTTCCATTGCTCACTGGGCTCTTAGAAGACATTTAGGGACAAATTAGAGCTAAACAACAGCTCAGAACACCAAAAGCCAGGACTTTGTAAACAAACCCCCAGACAATGTAAAAGGAAAATTCCCCATCTGCTCCTGCCCAGTGGTATTCTGCTCAATATCGGATGATAAACAAACAAACTTTATGGGTCTGTGGGAAACTTAACCACACCCATAATAAGTGGACATTCAGGTAGTTAAAATCATGCCAAACCACGGATGTTGCTGGACCAGAGACTGCCAGACTAGAGAGATTCCACCCGTAGAAGTGATTTCATAACGAATGCATACATAGCTGCTGGCACTGTTATCTCTGCTCTAAAGTCTAGTGGGAAACTGGTATTGGTTGCTGACTTTGCACTGATAACCCTGGTATGTAAATGTACTTTGACAAATTCAGCTTTTGCTAAATCTGGAGCGACTCCATTGGCATGTGTGGCGTTACTTTGAATCTGTACCAGTGTTGTGGAAATTAGTCCCTCTTGGTGTGTTTGTGTGCTGTATCTGCATGGAGCCTAGATGAGGTGCACCATCATCCAGATCCGAATACCACTGGACTGGAGCAGAAAGGGAATTTTCCCTTTACGTTATCTGGGGGGATTGATGGACCATGGCTTGTCCACAAAATGGGAGTTTCTGGATGTTTGAAAATGTTGGGGGTTTCAACAAAAACTTTGGAAACCCCCAAATTTGAGAAAAATAGCATCAAAAGCAAATAAATACATTTTTGTCAGTGTTTTCTGCATTCCGATGGCCTTAAAACTATGTAAACTCAGCAAAATCTGCCTGTAAAACCAGTCTTTTAACCGAGATTATCTTCATGACCACACAGAATATTTACTGGGGTGCTGCGCTCTATGTTCTGAAATCACATTGTCTGAGGATCAGCTATTTTTTTTTCTAACACCCCTTCATTTCCTAGGACTTCAGCAACCTTCAGTGTCTTTGTTAGTCGTTATCCCTGCAAGTCGTTATCCCTATCAGTACGTACACCCAGTTAGTGTGTAGGTCACAGGAAAGTGAAGAAACAACAAATGGTCTGGGAGCACTTTGTAGACTAACAAAACACGTAGATGGTATCATGAGCTTTCATGGGCAAAGTGCTAGCAGACCATTTGTTGTTTTTCCTGTACAGACTAACTCAGCTACCCCCTGAAGAAAAGTGAAGGTTGTTTGAAGGACGTTACAATCTCGACAACCCAGGATCAGGTTTTCCATGTCAAGTATCTTGGGCTACAAAGCAGACCCCAAGTGCAATATTCTAAAAAGAACTATCTGAGAGAACCTGCAGGATCCTGGCACAACTGAAATTGAGGGGCGAGGGGACAATGTCTGTGCCAGGTGTTGAGTTATCTGTGATTCACCTTCTCTGGTTTGGGTTGAGCCTTCTTAAAACAAAGTTATTTAAACAGTCATTGACCTGTGTGGACATGCTCACGTTACAAAGCTAAACTCAGGGGTTCCAAAAATGCTACCTGTGAGTCACTGAGGCCTTGTCTTCCCTTACGGGGAGATGGATGCTCTGGCGATCAGTCTCTAAGGGGTTGATTTAGTGGGTCTAGTAAAGGGTTGATTGTGCTCCTGTTGACTCCGTATTCCACTGGGTCAGGAGGAGTAAGGGGAATCAATGGGAGAGTGTCTCTCATCAATAGGGTTGCCAGGTGTCCGGTTTTGAACTGGACAGTCTGGTATTTGAGGGTTCTGTCCGGGAAACAAATTGAGAAAATACCGGACATATCAAATGTCCGTTATTTTCTAATTAGGTAAGTTTTATTATTATTAGGAGTATCAGTACGTAGCTGTGTACTGCCTGGCTCGTAGACACGCTCACGCTGTGTGAGTGTGTCTACCAGCCAGGCAGTATGCAACTACATGAG